CCTCCACATCGTGAGTCGGTGTTTTGAATATTCCCATCGCACACATCCACTGTTTGTTTGCTGCGTTATCATTACTTTGAATATCGGTCCTTGACTTTTCTTTACTCAATGACAATGAGGGATTATATGAAGTTTGTGCCGTGGCGAAGGAGCCGTGGGTCAAGTGAAGTTTGGGCTTTGGGCGTCACACACTTTCAAATCCAGCACTTTCCCTCTTTCTAAGGTCGGCCATTTTGAAGATGTCGTTCTCCGTATAACACAGGTCTGACAGTAGCAGTTTCTTTATTATTACTTTCTATTCTAAAAGAGACATTTTAAACATTTTCCTTCGTGCGATTTGAACCACTACAACATCAGGGCTATCAGCTAAATTATTATATATTGATAGATTATATTCAGAATCAGAATTATTTGTATTGCCATTGTAAGTAACAGGCACAACTCGCATTTTGCTTCAGCGACGTGGATTATATGTGTATTTTTATTGTGGTAGAAATGTCAGAACAGACTTTATGGACGTTTTGTTTTGACTCCATCATGTTTTAGTCGCCACAGGACACAGGTTTATTATCAGAACAGACGGAGGTGAAAGAGTGATGGAAGCGAAAAGTGAAACGGTGAATATCAAACGCCTCATCGTTAAGTCCTGCTGCGTCCACTTTGCAACATGAAACTGTGGACAACATTGATCTCAAATGTAGGTGGTGCGGCTTATATACCAGTGCGCCTTTTAGTCCAGAAAGTATGCTTTTTTTCTTAATATAATTTTTCATAATTAATACTTTTTGTTAGAACTGGATCTCGTAAAAGCAACATTTTGTGAGCGAGTCAGACCACTAGAGGATGTCTATACCCTTTTCTTTTCTTGCATACGCATAGAGATATATGAGTCACAATTTGACACTTAGGGCTTGGAGCTGATTGGCTGAGAGGGGGTGGTCCACTCTTTTTTACTAGTAAAAAATGAGACCAGAGATGGACCCAGACTGTTTGTAGAGCAATATTATTACATAGTTACATTTCTTGTGGTTTGAAAGTTACAATGGAAAAATGTTAAGTATAATTTCTCCATTGTAAAACATCCATCCTGTCCAATGCAAACATCTCCAGATTCAGTCTTTTTGTCTCATGTTATATATTTATTATAAAAGCAAGTTCTTATTTCTACTACTCGAGAGGTTTTGCTAATCCTGCCCATACCTTAGTCCAATATACATGTTTATCCAAATATATACATAAAGAAGCAGTGAAAATGTGGCCAAAAGTGGTACTGCAGCCTCTCCCACTCTCCCTGACTCAGGTTGCCAGATATGCAGACGAATCCAGCTGGGACCATAACAGCTGAATAGACAAGAGTTTTGTCAACAACAAATCTATAACCAACACCTTTTTCACAAAGATAGAAATCCTGGTTTTATTCCTGGTTTTGTCGTTAATGATTTGAGAATCATAACGAGACCTTTTTTAGTTCTGCGCCACATGGTACTTTACCAGTGAGATTAGCTCCACATGGTACTTTACCAGTGAGATTAGCTCCACGCGGTGAGTTCTGGCGCCCGGATCACAGACTTTCTGATTGGTGAAACGGTGGAGGGCGGGACATCGAAATGAAAACAATAACAAGATTTAGGGACTGGAAAAGTAATTTAGAAATCTCTGAACTACTGTTATCAGTTAAAGAAGTATTGGAAAAGAGTGTGTTTTATGAATGCCTTTTGACAGATTAGGGCCCTTTAATGATGACAGATGAGGGCCCTTTAATGATGACAGATGAGGGCCCTTTAATGATGACAGATTAGGGCCTTTAATGATGTCAGATTAGGGCCCTTTAATGATGACAGATTAGGGCCCTTTAATGATGACAGATTAGGGCCCTTTAATGATGACAGATTAGGGCCCTTTAATGATGTCAGATTAGGGCCCTTTAATGATGACAGATTAGGGCCCTTTAATGATGACAGATTAGGGCCCTTTAATGATGACATGAAAAACGTACATGTTGCTACATTAACAGATTCATTCACATTGAAAAACATGTGGCCTTTAACTCCAGCACAAGACGTTCAAATGAAAGTGAGTTTGACAAAGAGCACATGTACAGCTCCACACTCAGGGCTGCTGGAAACCGTATTAAAAATCCGGTTAGCGTTCTCCGTCGGTGCTCCGCGTCATGCCCACACACTCCAAATATTAACATTTCTCCTCTTCTTGCTATGCATAACACATCAAACTGTTTTAACGCCGCATTTCCATAATCCCAAATCGCATCCTAAATCAGACCTGTATTATTTATCGGCAGATTTATGCATTTTTAATACCTTGCTTTTAATCTCTTAACACGCACGCTCGCTCATCCAGATCTCACGGCGGCGCTTCGGCGTTGCTCCCGTTCTTTTAGTAGTGTACCATTTGCTTTCACGTAACGCATCGGGCTAAAGCACCCGGGGCGATATCACCCCCTGCGGTCTCACTCTGCGGTCTCACTCTGAGCTCCGAGGAAAGGTCAAAATGATGGAATAACAGGCTCTCTCTAACGTCGCAGATGGGACAGGGCTCGTCCATTGGTTAAAGCCAAACGTGAATAATTATGATAGACTTGTATTTGAGCTAGAAAAGAGATGGGTCATGTGCAAAGTGAGTATTTAGTATTTATATGTTAGATAAGTACGTTCCGAGAATCTATAAAGAAGTCGGAAGTAGATTCTGATTGGAACAGGCAACCCACATCATTAAAATCCTTGACCTCCTTTGGTTTATTTAACACATAATTATTTAAATACCGTATAACTCCCTGCTCATGTTACTAGCAGGGTCTCTTTTGTAATACTTGTTTGTACATTATACGCTGTATTATTCTACAGCTGCTGTGGATGGACTCTGACTACCGTATACAAGGGCTGGGACTTCAGCTCAAAAACCTTATTCAAATTTCATTGTTTTATTAATATTGATTCAAAATGTGAATTTATTTGATATTTATTTTGACCAATACATGTCAGAGCAAGAACAAAAAACAAAAAAAACACTTTAAAAACTTACTTATACCAAGACTTTGAATATAACATTTAGTTTTCCCAGCCCTATTGTTTCCTGAGTGTAGTATTATCGTAGGGGGTGGGATCAGAGGAAGCAAACCTGTGTGTGTTCAATGTGCACATGTTAATCTTTAGTATTGTCTTATATGTATTGTGTTTGTTTTCTGTTCATGGGACCCTCTCAAAAATGTGATGCTGAATATCAAAAGGCTTTAGCTAAATAAAATAATAACAAAAATGCATTTGAAAGACCCAGGTCACACAATGCACTTTCATTTAGTTGAAGCAGTCCTTTCCATTCCCTCCACACACAGCGTCGAAGGAGCGTCACCCGCCATTCACGCACTACATCCAGTCTGGAAACCGGAGCACCTGGAGGAAACCTTCACTCTGCTCACTCTGCCCCTCATGGACCAGTTTGTTTCGATTCTCTGATCTGTGTCGGCAAAACAACAACTGTGTGAAGTCCCCGAGATAACTATTGTTGTGACTGAAGTGAAATTGAACTGGAATTTAATTGAAATTAATAAATAATACCTAAGATTAAGAAATAAAATACAAATAAAAAACCTTACTAAAACACAAAGAATTGTAGTTACAATTGAACTGAAATTGACTTGAATTAAATATTGACGTCTGATTTGTTTGATAAACTTTTACAAAAAACACAATCCATTCCATACGAAAGGTGAGGTCTGCCAGCGTTAATCTTCCCCCGCCTGCTTCAGATGATTAGAAAAACAAATGGGGAGTTGAACAAAACCGTGAACACAGCTCTGATTACGACCACAATCCCAAACTTTAACTCAAACTTTTCAAAAACCTCCCACTATCAAAACGTACTCAGTTGTGTCTTTAGTCAATCGCGCGTTTCCAGAGCAGCCGTTTAGTCGTTCCCGAGCTGCTGATTGCGCTGTATCTCCGAAAGCTTCTTAATTTAAATGAATCAGAGAGGACGGAGAGCAAATTGGAATGGGCTTCGATTTGTGCCTTTTCATGCTTTGCTGCCAAAATTCTCCTTTTTTTGGGTGAGAAACGGACGGAGCGGAGAAATGACTTTACAGTGAGGTCTGGGGTTCAGCTCGGTGTCGGTCTGACTTCATGACGAGGTTAGAACTTTCAGAAGGTTTTAGACTCACACTTTTTAGAATCGTGTCAAGTTGTGGTCACGGTGCGTTCAAGAACATGTCATTATTGTGAGAAAGTATTAAGGAAGAAATAGGGCGTTGTGGGTTCAAGTCCACCTCAAGACTTTCACCACCGACTCCCACTGTCTGCTGTCGTTGTGTCCATGAGCAAGACACTTCCCCCACATTAGAATGAGTCTGGTGTGTGTGTGAGTGGTTGGTGGTGGTGGGAGGGGCCGATGGCACAGACTGGTTGCCTCGCTTCTGTCAGTGTGCCCCAGGGCAGCTGTGGCTACAGTAGTAGTTTAGTGAAAGAATAAGAATGTGAAGAGACTTTGATTATTGAGACTCATTATTATTAAAGACAAATGTTACGTTTACAAGTATCTTTCTGTTGGATCAAACAAAAGGTAATATTTATAGAGGTGAAGGATTAATAGCTTCTGGGGTTTATCTGTCTGTATGACTGCGTATGATTTTAGTTTAGTTTTGATCTTTTTCCTTGGGTTTTTATGGCATCCTCATCAGTTGCCTTGTCCTGGCCTTGTACTTAGTGCACTTGTAAAAACATGTATGCATGCCTTTACTTTTTACTGCCAAAGCCAAAGCATGTTCCTCCTGTGTCTTCCTTCGACTTACAATGGAAAAACAAATAATTCCGATTTCTCTTCCTTAAGTTGTTTCACTGCATCAATTGTGCTTTACAAATAAACTTGATCGATGGCTGCTTTGCAAATGTCTCCCGGTCTATTCGCAGCCCGTTGGCCCACTTCAGTCTAGAGCCTCGTTGGGAGCGTGAGGAGGACGGAGCGGGAGTGGGCTGTGGTTTGGGACTGACCTGTCCGGGTCTGGAGCTCTCGCACACGATCACCTCCTCGTCCGTGGGAACCTCCGGGGGGTTGTCGTTCACGTCCAGAACTTGAACCGTCACCACCACACTGTTCACCAGGCTGGGGTTCGCTGCACACATCGACAGGCCAGGCACATGTTAGCGATAGCATTCAGACATACAGTAGGTACATGTTAGCAACAGCATCCAGACACATGCACAGTACAGGCCGAAAGTTTGGACACACCTTCTGATTCAAAGAGATTTTTATGATTATGAAAATTGTAGATTCACACTGAAGGCATCAGAACTATGAATTAACTCATGGGGAATTATGTACGTACTAAAAAAGATAGTATGAAACAACTGAAAATAAGTTTATGTCTCCAAGAGTCTTGAAGGAGTTCCCATGATGCTTAGCACTTGTTGGCCCCTTCACTCTGTGGTCCAGCCCCAAAACCATCTGGACTGGGTTCAGGTCCGGTCTCTCTCCTTATTGGTCAAACAGCCCTTACACAGCCTGGTGCGGGTCTACAGCAATAGTCATGAAAAGAACTCAGTGAAGGAGAGATGGTGTCCACACTTTTGCTCTGTACTGTACATGTTAGCGACAGCATCCAGAAACAGGTACATATTAGCATAAATGTTAACCACATATTTTTAACTATAATCATTGTTCCTTCATTAAAAATAGACTTGTTCTTTGCACCATCTTTGCTAATATCTCAAACTTAGTATATGCTATGATGGCATTTAGAAAGTGACTGTCTTCTGCTCTACTAAGTCCCCAAATAAATGTATAAAATCTGTAAATAATTCTTTGAGATCTGTTTATCTTTTGCCCTGTTCTATTTCAATCTGAACATACTGCTCATAAATCTCCAGTAAATAAAAAGTAAATGCTAGAAATGAGAAAGAAATCAACATTCCACAAACAAAACAATAGATTCCCCGGTGTGTTCCTCCATCTAATTGATCGGTTGTAATTTCATTCTGTGGATTTGTTTTATTTCTGTATCTTTAAACCTTTATTGTACCAGAACATTTCCAATATTTCAGAATCCGTTTTTTCAGTGGAGTCAAATTGGCCCATCGGAAAATCTAGTTCTAAGGCCGTCAATTAAGACGCATTTTGACATTTTTTGGCAATTTTTGACTTTTTCATCACTTCCTGCAGTTTAACAAATGAATAAACCCACACTTTGATTGTATCACAGCTTTTTGTTGCTTTTGCGTTGCTTTCGGCCCGTGCAGAAAATCCAAGCACGATAATCCACAGTGTCGTGTTACCACCGCAGTCAACATAATCACAATCTAATTTCAGGAACATTTTCTCCTTGAACTTGGGCTTCGGCGTGTGTTTCCAGCCTTCTGAATCAAAGTCACGCACACGGCACCGCTCTAAACTGGGCCATGCTGTGCTGTGCCGCGTCCTCTTTATCCTCCCTCTGTTCTCAGGCGGGGAACTATAAAGCAACATTTTGTTTATAGTGAATTCGTTTTGATCATCTCCGTGTCATGCACGTTTCCCGTACACTACACGCATTACGAATTCATGAAGCGTGTAAGCTATACGTCCTGGCTTTTCTCTTCATTTATGTTTTCATTTTTCACGAGACAATAACGCCTTTATCGCCACAAGATCCTGCGGTTGCACTTTATCTCGGGTGTTTTAGGTTGGGGAGGTGTCACATATACAGGTTTTTATTGGGATGCAGGTAAAGACACAGACTTATTATGAACGAGGGGAGGTTCACAAGTGCGGCGATTCAGCACAAGGCGGCGCGGAAACAACGGGGAAATTGACTTCAGGTGGTTTTTGGATGTCCTTTTTCAGTTGTCGTTTGCTAAAGCCAGGATCATGGATTCACGAGACGCTGAGAGGTCACAGCTGTAGTGATGCGAGGGGAATCAGACTGGAGACTTGACCTTTAACATGTTTCACAATTCTGTCCTTTGAACAATCTGAGTGATTCTATCTGTGCCAAATGTGACATGCACATTTCTCCAGTGTGTGTAAAGTCTGTCTTATCTGGTCCTATCTTAAGGACAGTGGTGATGACCCACGACACACAACATTCAGCGACATTCAAGAACTTTATTAACACTTGTGGACGCTGTTCATGTGCCCCTTATGGACCGATGGCTCTATGTGTTTTCATTGTTTGATTTTCTGATCTGTGCTGCTTAATTGACAGATTTGTAAAGTCCTCCAGGATAACTACTGTTGTGATTTAAGGATATTCAAAACTAAATTGAATTGGGTTGAATTTGACCCAAAAGTTATCAGCTTTTGGGTGTAATCTAGCGTATGTCTCTTGTGATTTCCCAACTCTGTCTGTATCTATATGTAAGTTATTCTTGTTCAATTATCGGCATTCATTTAGCTCCTTTTCCCTGTCTGTCACTGGAGGAGCTTGTGACATATTTAAAAACACATACATTACGTTTACATTGTACAGAGGCAGGAGTCCCCCAAGTCATCACAAAACTGGACCATTTTTGTAAGAAGTTCTACCTTTAATGGCAAATTTAGCCATTTTCAGGTACTTTACAACCAACAATCTATAACAGCTAAAGCCCTTTTTGTCCAAGGTGCTGGTCTACTTCCGGGTGGATCATCAAGACTATTGGTCCTCCCAATTGTCAATCATTCTGGTGATATGTGCTCGTCCAATAAGACCAGAGAGTTTAAGACCAGAGAGTTTAAGACCAGAGAGTTTAAGACCAGAGAGTTTAAGACCAGAGAGTTTAAGACCAGAGAGTTTAAGACCAGAGAGTTTTGTTCAAAAAGTGGAGAGGGCGGTGCTTTCCTCAAACTTGGGAAAATCATCCCATATACCTTGTTTAAAACACGATTTGCCAATGGGATAAACCAGTTGTGTTGCTTTATTTTCTCATTCCCAGGGACACATTTGTTGTATCATTTCAAAATAATATCATTTTGCTTTGTCCCATTGGCAAATCTTTTATAAGGCAAAATGTGCTCAAATTAAAAATGAGTTTTTCCAAATTCAAGCAAATTTTTACTTTCTGTTTATCGCTTTTTTAGGTGTGGACTAACAAAGTGTGGACTGTATCTCTGTTGGGTTTTTATCTGTCACGAGTAACTGGTACGTACACAACGGATATATCATCCCTCCAAAGAATCACCATGACCTTCAAGTTATAATCCTTAAATAATCGTATCTCGTTTGTCCCAAGTTTGTGAAGGCCACCGTTCACAGGTCTTCTGCAGAGAAAAACTTCTAAAACAATCTACCTTAGACGACTGTAACGGAAAGAAAAGGCGCCCCGCTCACTACTCATCTGGATCCAGAAAAAAACACTTTTTTCCCATCATAAGCTGTATAGCGCTCTAAGGATGCTAGCAGAAATGTAAACATATATTAGCGCCTGTATTTGTGCCTCTGTCCTTCTGTACCAAAAGCTCTGGAGTGAAGTCCTCCTCCTGCTGCAGGTGCAAACAGGCCACAGAGATGCTACAGTAGCCTGGTCTTACCACACCATAGTACTAACTACATCTGATACTAAGGTCTGGATTAGCTCCATTGACTCCGTTAACAGTTGGGAGGGGCTAACTCCTTTTGCAGATTGAAACCATTAGATCTGAGTTTACCATGACGTATGTAATGTGCCTGAGTGAATCGTTAGCATTTAGCATTTAGCCTAGCATTTAGCATTTAGTCTAGCTTTAGCCATCTCCAATCTTTGCCAGCGATTACATTTGATAAACATTCGTCTTGCTCCGGCTTCAATTTCTTGATAGAACCAGACCAGAATACTTTACTATCACATTCATCGCCAAACTACAACCTTCCCGTTCAACACAAACTCTCGACGTCACCCACATCTACCAACAACTCTCGCCTCCCGCACTTGCTGATTGGTCGGATGGAATTCATCAGATGTAATTGCAGACTCTGGGACTAGACCCAGACAGTACATGCAGGAAATGAGAATGGACCGGAGTGTTCGGGTGACTAAGGATAGGCCACTGCTACAGATCTGCCCCGTCAGCGAAAGGCGGCGCCCACACAAATGTCAACCAGCTGCACCCTCGCCTTCTAATGAATGTTTATATTTACCTTACTCTGGATGAATGTGCAGAGAACACGCCGAGTTACCGTCCGAGCAGAGGCGCACAAGGACGCTGTGTTTTGTAATAGATCCAAATACAATGTTTATTACGGTCAATTCAACACACACACGACTTCTAATATGGGTGAAGTAAGTAATCTTTATTTATATACTGCCTTTTCACTGCAGATCTGAGTCTCAAAGCGGTTTACAATTGTTAATTTTGGGCATTTGTCTCTCACTCCACACAGAGATGGGAGCGGGGCCAGTACAGGAGGCACATGCCAGAACTATTGGACATATTTTTAGTGGTAGGGGAAACCGGAGCACCCGGAGGAAACCTACACAGACACGGGGAGAACATGCAAACTCCACTCAGAAAGGCCCTGGTCCGACCGGGATTGGAACCCAGGACCTTCTTGCTGAGAGGCGAGAGTGCTATCCACTCAGCCACCGTGCCTTGTGTCTTGCCTAAGGACACAACAACACTTTGGCACTTTACAGCCGCCCCACTGTGGCACCTGCTGTTCCCAGAGGTCTGGAGGCAGCTTTTCAGATTTATGCAGCTAAAATCTGGAGCAATCTTCCTAAAAATGTGAGACAGGCTTCTTCTCTGACAAACCCGGGTTAAAAACAGTTCTATTCATCTGTGCTACAACTGAAAGATTTTAAGCCCTTGTCCGTCTCTAATAAAGCCCCTAAACTCAGCCACATCCCGTTGTTCTGAGCCTGACCTTGTGAGAGCTTTGGTCCTGATGCGTCTGTCAGTTTTATCCAATCAGCAGTCTGCACACCGTCTCTGCGTCTGTGTGTCCTTGTTCTTTCAAAGCAGTGGAAATGATCAGGCCTTCTTCTGACGGACGCTTCTTTTGTAACTTTATCCTTCAATACTAAGCAGCAGATAAAGAAACATTTGCATTCACTGGAAACAACCCCGGCCACAGATTCCCCTAATTGTGCTCGCAAATTAGCTTACGAGTTACCTGATAGCAATCCCTCACTTTAACAGTCCCTTATTTGATTTGGTAATTAACTATAAAGAAGTAAGGTACATAGTGTTTTAATACATAATCAGTATGCTAATGGTGCTCCCACAGTTGTTTTCTATGCATTTTAATACCTTTTGTTTAGAGCTAGCTTACATGGCTCAGGGCTGTTGCAAACACTGCTACTTGTTCTTTATTATTGGGGTTTTTAATAATGTCGTTAAGCCCCAAATTGACTCCTACATGCACTGTATGTATAAACAATTCAGCAGGAGGGAGGAAGCGTGACTAAAGGCGGATTTAATGCTGAAATATGTGTCTTTTTTGGCACCTGCCTTTCTCTGAGAATACACAACATTGACTCGGGTCTGTATAATTAGGCACATGGCTGAGTGGTTAGCCCTCTCTCCCCAAATGTGAATGGTATTACACTGCAAAAATAATAAAATATGAGGCAATCATTTAAATCTTTGATTACTTGTGATGAGTTTTATCTAAACTGGAGCACATTCTGACCGTCTTAGTCTTTCTCCAACAGGACAAGGCCATTTCGTCTTATTTCAAAAACATTTGCTCTCATTCCAAGGAAGATATTTCCATCCATCTATCCATTTTCTTCCCCTTCATCCATTTCTGAGTCGGGGGTGGCAGTCAGAGCTGCACCAGCCACTGATCCTCCTGCAGGTGCTGAGTCCACAGGGGGAAGTGTGGAAGTGTCTTGTCCAAGGATACAGCTGTAGGTAGGTCCTGTGGTGGGCTCTAACCCACAACCTTCAGGCCCCGAAAATAAATTTCTTTTATTTTTTAAAACCATCTAAAAGGTCCCATTGGAAACTCAAATTTAGCGACATTTTTCACAATTTTAGCAACTTTTAACATGAATTTCTTTTTCAAAGTAGTATCCATCATTGGGTATACTTGGATAACTGCAGGGGAAACATGGAATTACAATAACAGACTGATGTATTCCAGCTTGAATCCAAAGAATAAGATGATCAAAACATTATTTAAATAAAGGTAGAACTTTTGAAATCAGAGAAAAGTGTACGACCATTAAAAGCAGAAAGGAGAAAGTCACGAAGACTGGAGTTATGACGAAACAGAACATAAAAACTCATCCAACCGTTTGATAAATAAACAACATTATTACACTGTTGTTTATAGTAAAGGCCGGCGTGACTCATTATAATGACGCAACAGAAACTGACCTATTTCTAACGCTAACAGTGGAGTAAGACAGCGGCCCATTTCTAGCTAACGTTACACACTGTCTCCATATTGATTTACTGCAGCGATGCTTTCCCGCTTTGTACCTGATCCCCGTGGGCTCCTTGTTATCTCACAGGTTAGAAAACATAATAAATGTGCACATATACACAGCCCCTAGCTACAGCGGCGTGCCATTCTTTTGCTGTTTGTACATTGGCGCTGCTACATACAGAATCTGCCACATATGCCCAGTATCTGCATAGACTCATAGTAATAATGGGATTTTTCTCTTCCATGATTTAGAATGCACTCTTCTTCGGCGTTCCTCGTTTGGGCTTTTGGAGCCAATGGACGTCTCCTCGGCTCGGTGTTGCATTGGCTGCGTTATTCGCGTATCAAATAGGTAGAGTTGTGATCAATTATTCAGAGCGAGCAGAGCAGCAGCAGCAGCCGCCGGTATTTCAGGCCGGCTCCTGCAAGCATATGTAATGTGTATGATATGTTGTTTTGGGGCCGATTTGACTTGAATGTGAATGAAGAGGCCGTGTGTGCAAATAAATATCAGGAGCCGAGGGGAAACACGGTGCTTTTTGATGTTGCCGTGAAGCCAAAAGTGAGAATTATTGATCTGGAAGTAATGCGTTGGAGAGAAATGTGTGCAGAGGTGGTTCCAGTGGCCGCAGGCGGTCAGTGGCAGCTGGGAGAAAGGGGGAAATCTAATAGGACACAATATTGGAACTGGCAACTAAACTGGGACATGAGCCAGGACTGAACCAGGTTAGCTACTTAGTTTGGGTCAAAGTTAGCACAAACCATTGTACGTATTTCATTTCATACTAAGGTCTAGATTTTCTCCATTGACTCCGTGAACAGGTGGGAGGGGCTAACTCCTTTTGCAGATTGAAACCATTGGATCTGAGTTTACCGTCACGTATGTAATGAGCCCGAGTGAGTGAGGCATTTAGCCTAGCTTTAGCATTTAGCCTAGCTTTAGCCATCTACTTTTACACTAATGGAGCCCGTGGAGAGTAGAGCCACGTCAATGACATTGGATAAACATTCTTCTTGCTCCGGCTTCAATTTCTTGATATTTGGATTGAACCAGAACAGCTAACTTTACTATCGCATTCTCCGCCAAACTACAACCAACAAATTCGGCTCAAACTCATGACGTTACCGACACCGACCTACAACTTGAATTTGGTTTGAAGAAAACAGCTCGGTTCTTGATGCCACAATCTAAGGATTCATCATATTCTGACAACTTTGAGATTGGAGCATTCAGAGAGAAGGGGCAGGGGGACGTGGTTATGCCAACTCTTGCCAACATCTCCTGATAAAAGCAGCTGTTCTTGATGAAGAAAGAAGCTGTAACTTAAGTCTCAAAATAGATAAGGAGAAAAAAACGTCCAAAGCTCATTGTACACATTTCTTTCACTAAAGTAAACAGACTTTTATACTTTGCTTCTTTATTAAGTGAAAGATTTTACTTTGGAATGCGAAGGAAACGGCAGCAAGTCCAAAGCAGCTCTGAAAGACACTGATCCAGACCAGAGCAGAGAGGATTCACCGTCCGAGGCAGAACAAGCGTAAATCCACTGGAGGAATGCTAATGCTTTTTTTGAGAAATGCTAACAAAGCATCTCTCTCTGGACCGGAGCAGAGAACATTGTCCACCTCTGCTGCTGTTGCTTTTATTACTATTGTTAGCTACTTTGAGAATTATGTGTTTATTTGTTGTGTTTGTGTGAATGAATGTGTCTCTGTTGCTACTGCACCCCTGGATTTCTCCGACTGGGATCAATAAAACATCTATCCATCTATTAAGCTAAAGATTTGTATTTAATGTATAAAGGATAAAGTGCTGTATATTCTCTAAGTTCTCCTCATTCTCTAACCCGTGACATTTCTAAACTGTGGGAAGAATAAAATACCTATTCAACTCTTAAACGTATATTCAATTCTTCAAATGAATGTGTTTCAGGATAAACTTGGAGCCGTTCGCTGATCTTCACGATGCTCAAAGCCTTTGCATGAATGGCCTCTCGCCCGAGCTCTGAGGAGGTGAAGCTAAGCTGACTTCCTTTTGACATTTCCTAATTAAAAATACATTTGTTGAATCTGCTCTCTCTGGCCTTCAACACCTCGCGAGTGCTTCGTAGACAGACTCTTTCCCGGAGGTCTGGTTTCGCCGGAGGTCTGGTACTCACCAACCTCCGCCGCCATCACGCTGACGTTGAGCCAGGGCCGGTCCTCTCGGTCCAGGGGCCTCGTGGTCCTGATAACCCCAGTGCTCTCGTTTATGCGGAACAGTGGCTCCTCATCGCTCTCCGCCATGAAGTACCTGAGGAAGAGACGGGAAATGATGGGATTAGAAGAGGAGATATGCTTTATTGTGGACTGTTTAAAGCTGGGGTACCTGACTTTTATTGTTTCATAAATAACACATTTATTTTGTTTAGGAAAGTGAGTAAAAAGTAAAACGCTGTGAATCCATCACACAACAACATGCAGCATTCATATTATTACAAAACATGTCCAAACTCAGGCCCACGGGTCAATTGCGGCCTTTTGTGCCCATGTACGTGGCCCTTTGCTGCTAATACAAAGTGGCCATTGAGGCACTTTGACAGTGTCATCCAACCAACTTCAGCTCCACCAATACATTCATGCTTTACCTTGTTGTACAAATCTCAGACCCTCTGGAATCCAGTTGTTGGTGTTATTTACTGACATTTGTTCATGATTTTTCAACATTCCAAATAAAATGCAGCTGTGGTGTAAATCAATCCAGTCAATCCACCTCGAATCCAGTTTTTTAAATTTTTAAAGACTTTACCTGGGGTTGTCTACCCCAGGTAAAGTCTGATTAACTAAATGGCAAGGACTGAGGCTGTAGACCCAGGACTGAGACTGTAGACCCAGGACTGAGACTGTAGACCCAGGACTGAGACTGTAGACCCAGGACTGAGACTGTAGACCCAGGACTGAGACTGTAGACCCAGGACTGAGACTGTAGATCCAAGACTCAGGCTGTAGAACATTAACCTGACTCTCAAAGATCTGGGACGGAGGGCAATGCAAACTCCTTCAAGCCAAAAATATTGAACCAATCAGGACTTCAGAGATGTGAGGTAGCGCCAAAGTGACTGTTAGATTCAAACAACAAAAGCTGCAGCGAGGAGTCGTAGCTTCGATGTGAGTTGAAGTAGCACATCATTCAAGTGGTTTATCCAATCACAAACAAGGCCCCACCTTCTAAAATACATCTCCTATGAAGAAATCTCAGACCGTAGTTTGGAGCTCAGCAAACTACAGGGTTGTGGCGAGAGTCGCGTTAGACTGCCTGGCCTCCTCCATCTACACCTGCGGACTGCCCCGCCCGACCCGCCTGGGAGTGCTTCAGTCCTGCACCGGACCTGTCCACGCTCAGCGGCCGCTGGTCCACGTTCTGTAGCTTAGGTCCTGGATCTATAGACTCAGTCCTCGTTCTACAGTCTGACTCCTGGATCTATAGCCCGTCCGTCCGGAGGAGCGGATCCCTTTCTCAAAGGTTTTTTTCTTTGCCGATGCAGGAGGGTCTGTTGGACAGTTAGTGTCCACCTAGAAGGACTGTGGTGATCCAGGACACTTTAACATTCTACATGTATGACATTTACTAACATGTATGACATTTACTAACATGTATGACATTTACTAACATGTATGACATTTACTAACATGTATGACATTTACTAACATGTATGACATGTATCACATGTGTGACATTTATCAACATGTGTGACATTTATCAACATGTGTGACATTTATCAACATGTATGACATTTATCACATGTATGACATTTATCACATGTATGACATTTATCACATGTGTGACATTTATCACATGTGTGACATTTATCAACATGTGTGACATTTATCAACATGTGTGACATTTATCACATGTGTGACATTTATCACAAGTATGACATTTATCACATGTGTGACATTTATCACATGTATGACATTTATCACATGTGTGACATTTATCACATGTATGACATTTATCACATGTGTGACATTTATCAACATGTGTGACATTTATCAACATGTGTGACATTTATCAACATGTATGACATTTATCACATGTGTGACATTTATCACATGTGTGACATTTATCAACATGTATGACATTTATCAACATGTGTGACATTTATCACAAGTATGACATTTATCACATGTGTGACATTTATCACATGTATGACATTTATCACATGTGTGACATTTATCACATGTATGACATTTATCACATGTGTGACATTTATCAACATGTGTGACATTTATCAACATGTGTGACATTTATCAACATGTATGACATTTATCACAAGTATGACATTTATCACATGTGTGACATTTATCACATGTATGACATTTATCACATGTGTGACATTTATCAACATGTGTGACATTTATCAACATGTGTGACATTTATCAACATGTATGACATTTATCACATGTGTGACATTTATCACATGTGTGACATTTATCAACATGTATGACATTTATCAACATGTGTGACATTTATCACATGTATGACATTTATCAACATGTATGACATTTATCAACATGTGTGACATTTATCACATGTATGACATTTATCACATGTGTGACATTTATCAACATGTAAGACATTTATCAACATGTATGACATTTATCACATGTATGACATTTATCACATGTGTGACATTTATCACATGTATGACATTTATCACATGTGTGACATTTATCACATGTATGACACTTATCAACATGTATGACATTTATCACATGTGTGACATTTATTACCTGTATGACATTTATCAACATGTGTGACATTTATCACATGTGTGACATTTATCAACATGTGTGACATTTATCAACATTTGTGACATTTATCAACATGTGTGACATTTATCAACATGTATGACATTTATCAACATGTATGACATTTATCAACATGTAAGACATTTATCACATGTATGACATTTATCAACATGTATGACATTTATCACATGTATGACATTTATCAACATGTAAGACATTTATCACATGTATGACATTTATCAACATGTGTGACATTTATCACATGTATGACATTTATCACATGTGTGACATTTATCAACATGTATGACATTTATCAACATGTTTGACATTTATCACATGTATGACATTTATCAACATGTGTGAAATTTATCACATGTATGACATTTATCGACATGTGTGACATTTATCACATGTATGACATTTATCAACATGTATGACATTTATCAACATGTGTGACATTTATCAACATGTGTGACATTTATCAACATGTATGACATTTATCACATGTATGACATTTATCAACATGTATGACATTTATCACATGTATGACATTTATCAACATGTGTGAAATTTATCACATGTATGACATTTATCAACATGTGTGACATTTATCACATGTATGACATTTATCAACATGTATGACATTTATCAACATGTGTGACATTTATCAACAAGTGTGACATTTATCAACATGTATGACATTTATCAACATGTATGACATTTATCACATGTATGACATTTATCAACATGTATGACATTTATCAACATGTGTGACATTTATCACATGTATGACATTGGTCTCTCCCCATGGACCAATTCATATGTGTTCTATATTTTGTGTTTTAACTGTTGATTCTCTGACCTGTGGTGATTTCAATGGTTTAGTTAAGTCTCTGAGATGATTCTGTTGTGATTTAGGGAAATACAAGAATACATTTTTGTTGTTGTTGTTGTTGTTAGTAGAACAAGGACTGAGGCTGTGAGGAGCAGGACTGAGGAGGCTCCTGGGCGGGGACGGGGGTGTAGCCCACAAGTCCGGTCTGGGGTGAAACCAGTGCTAATCAACAAGGCAACAACAGAGCAATACAGAGAATAAAAAAGGCTCAAACATCCATAAACCACTCTAAACACAGGCTCAAGAGAGGGACTTTAGAAGTAAAGTGAAAATGCAAGTGCTCAGGGTCATGTCAGAGCCGCCTCTGTTTACCTCCTATTACAGTCTGACAGTGTATATGAAAGTAAAGCATGTATACACTGAAACAGAAGTGTGTCCTATAAAGTGCAAAGTCACCCTGTGCGGCGAGCCTATCAGAGTGGATCATAATCTCTCCTGGATTTCTTCAAACTACTTTTGTGGACTGGAGATGAATGTAATCCCATTTACGAGTCCCAGCTTTTATTCAGAGACACCCACAAGGTTGAGCGTGCGATAAAAGCCGGCTCTTTTTACCTCCTCTTGTAAAAAAAAAAGTATCTCAGCACACATTATTCCTGCTGTCCCGACCGCGCAGCTTTTCCTGTGCATTTGACTCCCAGATCTAATTCTCTTGCTTTATGGTAGCCTTCTCTGCAGCTTACGAATTACAATAGAAAGTCTGCTCTATGCTCTGCCCTGCTCTGGGGGATGTGCTTACTGTGCTGTTAGCCAGTGGGAGAGATACTTCAAGACTGCAAGACCCTCGGGATGTTTGGGGAAAGTGGAATATCTCTTTATATATATTGCGACGGTTTCAAAACAGTTGGGGATAGAAGAGAAGACAGTTTGGGCTTCTGTCGGCTCTACAGTCTTTACTCTGTGTCACCTGTGGCTCTATGTTTTATTTTGGATTAATTTATTGATTCATTTGGACTGGGACAATGCACATTCTTGATTTCGGTTAAAATGACAGTTTTGGCTACGAAGCTAGTTCTCACTGGTCAAGGTGTGTGCGTGTGTCTGTGTATGTGCATGTGTGTGTGTGTGCGTGTGCGTGTGTATAATATGAAGCGAAGGGCTGGGAACATAATCATGGGAAACATTTAATGGCACAAAACATGTATTTTTTTATGGATGATAGAATTTAATCCAAAATCAAAGCAATTATTACCTATTTCTGTTTTCTTGTATAAACATGGACTATTAAGAAATTTCAACTCAGTCCTTATTGTTACAAGCCAGAACATGTATGAGGAGCACAGGGACTGGCCTCCTGCTGGGACTCTGAGGAGCACAGGGACTGGCCTCCTGCTGGGACTCTGAGGAGCACAGGGACTGGCCTCCTGCTGGGACTCTGAGGAGCACAGGGACTGGACTCCTGCTGGGACTCTGAGGAGCACAGGGACTGGCCTCCTGCTGGGACTCTGAGGAGCACAGGGACTGGCCTCCTGCTGGGACTCTGAGGAGCACAGGGACTGGACTCCTGCTGGGACTCTGAGGAGCACAGGGACTGGACTCCTGCTGGGACTCTGAGGAGCACAGGGACTGGACTCCTGCTGGGACTCTGAGGAGCACAGGGACTGGACTCCTGCTGGGACTCTGAGGAGCACAGGGACTGGCCTCCTGCTGGGACTCTGAGGAGCACAGGGACTGGACTCCTGCTGGGACTCTGAGGAGCACAGGGACTGGCCTCCTGCTGGGACTCTGAGGAGCACAGGGACTGGCCTCCGTGGCAAGAGCTCTGGTGTGTGTCGTCTCTGTCTGGCGCACACCGGGGTAGTCTTGCACAGTTTTTCCAATGTGGTTTTACTGCAAATGGCAAATAAATGAATCTGAATCTGAATCCTGCTGGGACTCTGAGGAGCACAGGGACTGGCCTCCTGCTGGGACTCTGAGGAGCACAGGGACTGGCCTCCTGCTGGGACTCTGAGGAGCACAGGGACTGGCCTCCTGCTGGGACTCTGAGGAGCACAGGGACTGGCCTCCTGCTGGGACTCTGAGGAGCACAGGGACTGGACTCCTGCTGGGACTCTGAGGAGCACAGGGACTGGCCTCCTGCTGGTTCCCAGAGTCAGGACTAATGATTGGGAGGCAGCATTTCAGATTCATGCAGCTAAAATCTTCCTAAAATAGTTAGACAGGCTTCTTCTCTGACATTGTCCAAACCCAGGCTAAAAACGATTTTGTTTCGCCGTGCATACCACCGAAGCACTGTGATTATTTACTTGTGTTTGTTTTTTATCTTGTTTTGTTAAACCCTGCGTATGAACTGTGCCATACAAACAAACTCGCCTTAAGCACCACTGCATTTCCAAACAGCGCCGTGCAGGTGCAGTCCAGCAACAAGTTCCCAACCGCTCCTTCTACTCCCTTTTACGCAATAAATAAAAACGCTTATAGAGGTGATTTCACACTGACTCACTCTCCGCACACAGTCACTATCACTGCAGCGTCCAAACATATGAATAATAAAACCCCGCTGCTTTTATGAGGACTCTGGGTCCTCTCAAAACACATATTTCTGAGGCGCCAGCAATTACCTTCAATATTTAATACTGACAAAAGGTGGCGCACAACCGGCTTTTTATTTTTTATGATTTTTCTCCACAATGGCATAATGGCCGGACATATACAAAGCAGAAATGGGAGGCGGTTTGAAAGTCCGACCACAGAGCCGGTATTGATGCATTCAGACTAATTCATCTCCTAATGACCTATTTAGGCCACTAATCCATACTATTTATTCCCTCGGGTGGTGCAGGGCGGGTGGTGCAGGGCGGGTGGTGCGGGGCAGGTGGTGCAGGGCGGGTGGTGCAGGGCAGGTGGTGCAGGGCGGGTGGTGCAGGGCAGGTGGTGCAGGGCGGGTGGTGCAGGGCGGGTGGTGCAGGGCGGGTGGTGCGGGGCAGGTGGTGCAGGGCGGGTGGTGCAGGGCAGGTGGTGCAGGGCGGGTGGTGCAGGGCGGGTGGTGCGGGGCAGGTGGTGCAGGGCGGGTGGTGCAGGGCAGGTGGTGCAGGGCGGGTGGTGCAGGGCGGGTGGTGCAGGGCGGGTGGAGCGCGTTTGCACTAATGCGGAGGTGCAGACGTGTGTGGAGGATGTGAACGAACATGTTTATGACACGGTGAGGAGGTGGGTGTCACTGGTTCATATGGACTTTAATCCACATTTACAGACATTGGTCTCTCTTATGGACCAATGGCTCTTACCTGTTTGTTGTACAGTAATTTAAAGCTGCATTACCTGACTTTATGTTTGTATTCATTAGTTAAATTCAGTCCATATCCATGCAGTGCATTGGGATTGTAATTCTTTTGAGGACCCTCTTGAAAACGAGATGATGCATCTCAAGGGGTTTACCCTCTCAAATGAGTAAATAAATAAATAAATGTCCTTTTGAAAAATAAGTAGCGCAGGTTTGTGCTGGCGTGACATTTTATTTTAGATTGTTTTGGTGAAACAAGGAAGAGAAAGTGTTTCGGGTCCAGATTGTGACCAATCACAGCGGACCACTGGCCCCCACTTTCTTGAGAAAAGCCAAAGCCACAGGTCTGTGGTTAGCACAGACAGCTGAGGTAAACAAGGGGCTTTTGGGGGGCGCTCACATTTGAACATTTCACAAAGGGAGTTAGTGCAGCTTAAATCTGTAGCACTTTGAGGCAATACAAATAAAATGTATTATTATCATCCTTATTTGTCTTAATCTGACATTTGAAGCTCATGCCACACTTCTCCAAAGGCGTGAGGCTGCAGACCCGGGTCACCGCTGCCTAAACGCACTAATTGTGGCGTGACAAATGCAGCCAGCGAAAGTTCAATTTGGTAGACGTTAACCAAATTTACCCCTCCAGGCCGGCTCTCATCCCCAGCCTATCACTCTGCAGACGCCCCCTTCCAATCATCTGTACCGACTCGCAGCCGCATAAAAACGGAGCAACGCCCACTACCGGCCTCCTGAAGCCTCGCAAGCTCCTGCAGCCTCGCAAAGAATCGTTCTGGAGGAATCGCTTTTGTCTACTCACGCTTACTCGTGCGTGTCCCTGCTGTCCTCTGTCTTGCTGCGTGTGGTCTGCTCCTCCTGTGGCTGCACCTGCTGCGGGTCTCGTGCTGTGGTCCGTGGGTCTTTGCCGCTCTCCTCCTTTGCGGGCTCTTTCCGCGGGTTTGCCGCTGCTCGTCTCGTCGCGGCCGCTGCTGCATACGGCCGGTCTAGCCCGGTGCGGTGGGAGCCGTGCGCATCCCTGCCTCCTTGTGCCGGTACGGTGTGGTCCCGTCGTGTTGTCCCTTGTCTTCTGGCGCTGTGGGTAAGTATGAGATCCGCGGACGGTTTATTCCCCTCGCTTTGTCCTGCAGGCTCAGTTGGCCCCGTGCTGGTGGGCAGGCTTCAGTTTAAAGCCCTCGCATTGGTCTGCAGGCTCTCTTTAACCAAGCTCCGTTAAATCTTCACTCTGACTGCAAGCTCCGTTTAATCCCTCACATTGGACTGCAAGACCTCAGTTTTAATCCCTCTCATTGGACCGCATGCTCTCAGTTTTAATCCCTCACTTTGGCCTGCAGGCTCTGTTTAAATCCCTCTCTGGACTGCAAGCGCTGTTTAAATCCCTCACATTGGACCGCATGCTCTCAGTTTTAATCCCTCACTTTGGCCTGCAGGCTCTGTTTAAATCCCTCCCTGGACTACGAGCTCTGTTTAAATCCCTCTCTTTGGACTGCAAGCGCTGTTTAAATCTCTCTCGGACTGCGGCTCCCAAAATGAATCCCTTACATTGGTCTGTGAGCTCTCAGGTTAATCCCTCACGGAACTGTTATATCTGGAAATGCCTATATCTGGAAATGCCTATATCTGGAAATGCCTATATCTGGAAATGCCTATATCTAGAAATGTATATCGGAACTACTTATATCTGGAACTGTTGTACCGTATCTGGAACTGCTTCATATGGAACTGCTTATATATGGAACCGCTATATTGGAACTGCTCATATGGTACGGTTATACCTGGAACTGTTATGCAGTACATGGAACTGCATATATGGTACTGCCTATATCTGGAACGCTATATTTTAAAAATAAATAAATGAATAAATAAATACATATAAATAAACATATATAAATAATTATAAATAAATATAAATAAATATAAATAAATATAAATAAATTTAAATAAATAAATGAATTAAAAAAAAAAAAAAAAAAACCTGTTGAAATCCCTCACACTGAACAGCTACAACAACATTCTACTGCCGTGGCTTTGATACGGGATCATTGCTGTTATTATCTACGGACGCTGCAGCTGCTGCTGCTGCTACTGCTGCTGCTGCTTCATACGGCTACTACTGCTGCTGCTGCTGCTCCATTTGCTACTGCGCTACTACTGCTGCTTCATTTACTTGCCATCTCTCTTCACTTGCATCTCTTTTACTGAAACACTGATCAGCTACGACAACGTTCTACTGCTGTGGCTTGATACAGGATTATTACTGTAATCTCTAAGGACGCTGCTGCTGCTGCTGCTGCTGCTGCTGCTGCCGCGGCTTGATACAGGTTATCGCTGTTATTATCTGAGGTACTGCTGCTGCCGCTGCTGCTACCGCTACTGCTGCAACCCACTCTCTCAGAAGCTTATCCTGGTTCTAATGGATGCTGCCCGGCTGAGTATGCCGGGTCGCGCTGGCCTCGTACCTATGCTCCCAGGGTCGCTTCGGCGGTCATGCTTCATCTCTCTACTGAATCTTCTGATTCTATCAGATGCAGCCGGCCGAGTAGCTGCGCTGAGCCGTCAATCGGACTCCTAATCAAAGGCATCCATACCTGTATTCTTCACTCTTCTGATCGCAGGCTCCCCCATCGTGCTGCCCATCCTGCAGCGGCACTGAACTCCGGCTCATCTTCCAAGTACATGTCTGCCCTCCTCGCAGCATCTTCCTGCTCTCCTTCTATGGCTTCTCTGCATAAGCGTCCACTACTGCTCACTCAACCTTCATGCGGTCCGAGACGCGGCTTCCCGACCATCCTACTATCCTGATTATCTACTCTCCGACCCAAGATTCTAAGCGTAAGGGCGCCTGCAACATCAATTGCCCTCTCCGACATGTCTCTGCCCTTACAGGTCTCCGCTCTACACGGACGTGCCCCTTCCGTGGGTTTTGGGGGATTCTTCCAGGACCATTGGGTTGCCGGGCCGTGGCCGCTACTTCCACCAGAGCATCTCCTCTGCCCTACACGAGATATTCCCAGTGGTCGTGGCTGCGCGCCGTGGAATCACACGTGGCAGAGAAAGAGGATCTCTGTCATGCGTGATAATCTCGACGTAGTGGAAGCATCACACAAAGGTCGCTCCTTTCACCCAACATAATGTCCCCTGACCATTTCAACCTTCATCTCAAACATTCAAAGACCATTCATAGCTCGCTCCGACACATCTCTCTCCGGACAACCTTCCCATGACAGCAACCTGGTTCAGAGCTCAGCTAAGATCCCTACTGCTCCTCTGCAATCTGTCTCCCCAGCTCTACACAGCCCACTCCTTCAGGATAGGCGCTGCCACGCGCACGGCCTCGCTGGGGCTCCCCCACCTCTCCAACAGCTGGGGTGCTGGTCCTCTTCGGCTTTCTCCGCCTACATCAGGCCAGACGCGTCCGCTATCCTGGCTGCACAACGCTGCTGGCTTCCTCGTAAGCTCCCAGCAAAGCAATACGAAGCCAAGTAAGTGAAACAATAAGATTCTGGTGGCGGCACGCACTTCTCAAACACTCTCCGCTGCCGCAGCGTCTGACGGAACGTGATGCGAACGCTCACGTTCCCAGCGCGCAAAAATAACCCACGATGCATTACACTCGCCTCCGCTCTCGGAAAGGAGATCTCAACGGACCGTTATTTCTCACCCCCGATCACCTCCCAACGTCATCCAACGGGTTCAGGGCCCAACTAAAGTCCGTACTGCTGCTTTGTAACCTGTCTCCCCATCTCTACGCAGCTCACTCCTTCCGGATAGGCGCCGCCAGCAGCCGAGTATCCGCAAGTATTGATCACAGTAGATAGCGGTCACAGCATATAGCGATAGCGGTCACAGCATATAGCGATAGCGGTCACAGCATATAGCGATAGCGGTCACAGCATATAGCGATAGCGGTCACAGCATATAGCGATAGCGGTCACAGCATATAGCGATAGCGGTCACAGCATAGCGATAGCGGTCACAGCATATAGCGATAGCGGTCACAGCATATAGCGATAGCGGTCACAGCATAGCAATAGCGGTCACAGCTTAGCGATAGCGGTCACAGAATAGAGTAGTCACGACGTCTGTCCCCTCCAAACCAGGCTTCGAAAAACTCCATAAACACGCAGCCTTTTTGGGGATTGTGCGCGCTCATCGCAGGAGCCTTTCCGATCCGAAGGCCGCACCGGGACCTAGGGCGCCAAACCTCCTTTCATAAAATACTCAACTTCCTGTTTCTCGTCTCTCCAAATTGAAACGCAGCCAGCGAAAGTTCAATTTGGTAGACGTTAACCAAATTTACCCCCTCCAGGCCGGCTGTCATCCCCAGCCTATCACTCTGCAGACGCCCCCTTCCAATCATCTGTACCGACTCGCAGCCGCATAAAAACGGAGCAACGCCCACTCTCGGCCTCTGAAGCCTCGCAACCACCGCCTCCCCTCCTCCTCCTCTTCACCCTGCCTCCAATCTGCCTTCAATTTTCTTCCCGCTGCCAAATGCCGCCACCAGTGCCTAGGTCCCGGGGGATTGTGCGCGCTCATCGCAGGAGCCTCTCCGATCTGAAGGCCGCACCGGGACCTAGGGCGCCAAACCTCCTTTCATAAAATACTCAACTTCCTGTTTCTCGTCTCTCCAAATTGAAATGAGGCGCTGTGACTGTATTGTATCAGTTGTGTTGCCGGAGCACACTTCCACACTCCTCACTGACCCCTGCAGCTCTGTGTTTATTCTGTGCTGTTGACTCAAACGCTGGAAACAAAAGCTAAAAGTGCATTTCTGCTGCGATGAAACTGATTTAATTTCTCCAAAGGAATGGATTTGTGCGTCGCTCCTGAGGCAAAGAGCTTTTCATAATTATGCTAATGAATAAAAGCACAAGGTTCTGAGTCATCAA